CGCGCGCTCCCGGGGACATTCTAACGGCCGCCGGGCCCAGCGCCTCTCGCCCCGCTATTAATACCGGCGGCCCGGGAGAGGGGCGCAGCGCAGTCATGGGGACACTGCTGGCTTTCGTGGTCGGCACGGCGCTGAGTAAGTGGACGGGGGGCGCGCGGCGAGGGACACAGCGGGACACGGACAGGCGGCGGGGGCGCGCTCGGGACCCCGGAGAGTGGGGCGAGGGCCGCTTCCGCCCATCCCCCGGCCTGGCTGAGTCCCTCAGAAGTTGTGCGCGCCGGGCGCGGGGCTTGGGGGGAGGGTGAAGTTGCGGGTGGGCCAGAGACCGCGGGGTCCTGCTGGCACGGCTTCGCGGCTTCGGGTGCCCAGCTGGGGGCGAAGAAACGTGGAGTCAGCTGCTCCCGGAGCCCCGCCGGCTGCAATGTGACACCCACGCCGCAGGGGGGGCCAGGGGTGGGGGAGGAGGCGGCGCCCGGAGACCGAGATGGAGAGGCTGAAAGATAGTGACAGCAGAGGGAAGGGGCGAAAGACGCAGAAGGACCCGGAGTACTCTGGAGTGCTCCACTGGGAGACGGGAGATGGAAGTAAAGGGGCAGAGACGAGAGAGATGCAGAGTTTGACAGAGAAAGAGATTGAGGAGAGTTCATCTGAGCTGCAGAGAGAGCAAATTAAAAGAGGCAGAAAGAGATGGAGACGCGGGGAAGAATGGAGCTTAAAAAGGGACAGGGAAAGGTGGAAAAGGAGCGCGGGAGAGCGTGTCTGAGCCTGGAGAGCGAACAGAAGTGGTGGGACCTTCAGAAAAACCCCTAGAGAGAGGGAGGGGGGAATCAGAGACAGAGTTATTCAGGAAGGTGGAAAGGGACAGCAGAGTAAGGGGACAAGAATAATAGAGGAAGAGACAGAGAAAGACCCAGAGCTGGAGCTGGAGGCACAGCATTAGTCAAAGGAACTGGAATCCGCTGGAAGTGCAAAGGCTCTGAGGCAGGAAAGAGCTTGGTGAGTTTGGAGAAGTTGGGAAGGGGGTGGATGATACGGGAACTCAACTCGTGGGACTGGGGATTAGGAATGGAGTGTGGGTCTTCCCTACTTCTAGGGCCCACCTCTCCCTTTGAGGCCTTGCCTTTTCCCAGCCTTCTCTGGAGCTGGCTGGTTTTGCGGAGCAATAATGGTGGAAATGACTGCCACCTTGAACTTCTAACCCAGCTGGAATTTCAGACCCGCCACTGAGATGTCGCAGTTCCTCAGACAAGTGGCGTTCTGAAGAAGGGGTACTTGGGTAGCACATACTCAGAGTTACTTAGCACAGTAACAGCCCCATTGATTGGGGCCTCCTGTGTGCCAACCCCCTGCTGTGTGCCACCCCCGCCCCCTTTGGGGTGTTACCTAACTTACGGAATCTGCTCAGCAAACTCCAGAAGCAGAGATGATTGCTTCCCTCACCATTCACAGAGGAAAACTGAGGCTCAGAGATGGGTGACTTGCCCAGAGCACACAGTAAGTGGCAGAGCCAGGCTGTGTCGGCTCTGTCCATTCATCATCATTATTGAGGGGAAACAGATGGTTTCCGAGGGGCCGGAGGGCCAACAGCCCGCGAGTCTCGCATGGCCTAGGGTGATAGGTGCCCCTCCTGTCCCCACAGTATCCTCAGCCTATGCGGGCTGTGTGGAGGTAGACTCGGAGACGGAGGCTGTGTACGGGGAGACCTTCAAAATTCTGTGCATCTCTTGCAAGCGCCGCAGCGAAACCACCGCTGAGACCTTCACTGAGTGGACGTTCCGCCAGAAGGGCACTGAGGAGTTTGTCAAGGTGTGTGGGAGCCCGACCTGGGGTGTGGGAGGCTGAGCGTAGGTGTCTGAGTGGGGGCAGGATTGAGGGGCTGATTGTTTGCTTTCAATAATGTGCTATTCTTGATGACCTGGATTCAAGTTCCAGCTCCACCACTGACCAGCTGGTGACCTTGGGGAGATCACTGAGCCTGTCTGAGCCTCAGTTTTCTCCTCTGAAAAGATAGGGTGGTCATGGTGTTTGGCTCGTAGTCTGTGTGAGGATTGGCTGAGTTGATGCACCTGGCCCACGGTTGGCACAGTGGAATTATTTTGTACCAGCAAAATGTTTTGGGTGGCCGTCATAGAGGAGAAGCAGAACATTTTGACCTCCTTTACACGATGTGTGCTTTGAATTACAGCTGAGGAGGCGCCGTACACTTTTAGGGCCCAGTGGAGAATTAGGGTCTACAGCAGCGGGGTCAGGCTGCCTCTGTCCGAGAGTGAGGCGGATGTCTAGAGACCGGGCGGAATTGTAGGAACGAATAGGGGCTGAGGGAGTGATGGGGAATGCGTGTGAGTGTGTGTCTCAGGACTAGGGGCACAATCAGGGTCTGAGGCAGACCCAGGCATGACCCCAGCCCCGCTGTGCCCTCCCTGCCTGAGCCCATGTGTGTATCCATGTGTCTGTCTGTGTGTCCAGGCAAAGGACAGAATAGAGGTCTAGGTGGGGGACATGAGCCCAGGCAGTGACCCCACTGCTGCCTGTAGATCCTGCGCTATGAGAACGAGGTGCTGCAGCTGGAGGAGGACGAGCGCTTTGAGGGCCGCGTGGTGTGGAACGGCAGTCGGGGCACCAGGGACCTGCAGGACCTGTCCATCTTCATCACAAATGTCACCTACAACCACTCGGGTGACTATGAGTGCCATGTGTACCGCCTGCTCTTCTTTGAGAACTATGAGCACAACACAACCGTCGTCAAGAAGATCCACTTGGAGGTAGTGGACAAAGGTGAGTCAGGCCCTGCCTGTCTCCCTCCACTGGCAGCCAGATGGAGGGACAGATGACAGGTATGGGACAGGCGGGCTGCATTCTGGGCCAGCCAACTGCCTCTGGCAGCAGGGGGAACAGCATCTCTTTCCCCAACCCCAACTTTGGCCTCCATTTCCCTTCAATTCATGGAGATGTCACAGAAGGCCTCTCCCATGGAAGTTCTGGGTGTGGAACCTTTGCTGTCTGTGCTGTGTGACCTCTGGCAGGTGTCTTTCTGTCTCTGAGCTGAAGGGTTTGTCCTGTAGGAAACAGGACAGTAATGGTATCTACCTTTCAGGATGTTGTTTGAAACATTCCTATGTTCCAGGGAGGTTGTGAGGATTGAGTGATATGCTGGGTGTCAGCTGCTGGCATGCCTGTATGTGGGGCGATGGTGGCAGTTCGGCTTGTCAAATAGCCTGAGAACCGCCTTCCCGTGTCACCATGGGGGAAGAGATATGAGTGCATCACCTAGAGTAGTGCTCCTCCAATTCTGCACACAGCCCTCCAGGAGTCTTTCCAATGTGTGGATCCAGACCCAGCAGACCTGCTGGGCCCAGGGTCCATTTCTGAAAAGCGCTCAGACAAGACTGGTGCTGCAGGTCTGAGGCCACCCTGGGTAGTAGGATCTAAGATGTTTTTGAATCGTTTCATCATTTTGGCCTCAGTTGCCTTGGACTCCTTCTCTGAACCATATTCTGAAGGATGTAAGTTGGAATTTTCCAGGGCCCTCTGAGCCATATCGGCTTAGAGAGTCGGGGAGATACCCCAGACCTTGGACCACCAAAAAGCTGTGGCAAAAATGTCCCTTGGGGCCCGCAGCACACACATACCATCATGGGCAATGTGATCGTCCTTCCTTTCCCTAAGACAGGCCTCAGCACCTCATGTGGATGCAGACCCTCTGGGCTTGGGTTCTTACAGATTGGGGAGGCCCAGGCTCAGGGAGGTAAGATTACATGGCCAAGGTCATGGGGCTGGGACCTGAACTGGAAGCCAACCAAGCCTGTGTGACTGCCGTTTCTGCTTTGGCTGGCATGACTCACTGTCTTCACAGTGATCTAGCAGCCCTGCTGGTGTGGTTCAGTAGCTGAGCGTCGGCCCATGAACCATCGGTCATGGTTTGATTTCTGGTCAGGGCACAGGCCTGGGTTCAATCCCCAGTAGGGGGGTGCAGGAAGCAGCCAGTTGATGTTTCTATCTCCCTTCCTCACTAAAATCAATAAAAATATATTTTAAAAAATGGGCAAAGGAGCAGAATTCAATGCAGGAGACATATCTGAGCAACTCTTTCGTGTAGGACACCATGCTGGGTGGGCAGCCACTCACACAGAAGATGGGGCCCTGCCTGCATGAGTGTGGAGAAAGTGGAGTGGCTGTGACAAAGATGCCCCCACATACTGTGTCTTATAATCTGTGTCAATCCTGTCTCTGGAATCAATGCTGAGATGAGGGTCCGGAGGGCAGGAAGGTGCCGTGCTCCCGTCAGGCACACGGTTCTTTCCATCTGTGGTCTTGCCTGGCTCAGGCTGCCGCCCTCATCTTCCTGGTGGAGGCTGGGCTCAAGCACACCCATGGATCAGTAAGGTCTCTCTTTTTTAACATTATCTACCATATTGCTCTACTCTCAGACTCTATGTTCTTAACAACATCTATCATAATAGAGAGCTCTTTATGTTGTGTCCGCAGAGCCTATGGTTTCAGTATTGCCCTCCCCCCATTCTCTAGTGTTTTTTATCTACTCTATTATAGTATTGCCTTTTAGCATCACCCACTATACTACAGTGATTTATATTATACTCTATACTATACTATTTTAACATTACCTAGCATACAACAGTATTTTTTATCATAATCCATCACACTAAAGTATTTTTAACATTATCTACCACTAGTAGCCTGATGCACAAAATTCATGCACATTAAAAGGGAATTAATTGCCCTAACTGGTTTGGCTCAGTGGATAGAGCATCAGCCTGTGGACTCAAGGGTGCCAGGTTCGATTCCGGTCAAGGGCATGTACCTTGGTTGCAGGCACATCCCAGTGGGAGTGTGCAGGAGGCAGCTTGGTCGATGTTTCTCTCTCATCGATGTTTCTAACTTTCTGTCCCTCTCCCTTCCTCTCTGTAAAAAATCAATAAAATATATTTAAAAAAAAAAAGAAATATACGGTAACCCGAATTTACCACACTCGCAAAATCGCATAAACGCC